GTACCTAATAATCATATACTCTTTTGAATACTAACTTACAAAACTACTATCCGTAACCCAAGTACATGATTGTTAGGTCCTTTGGACCGTTGGGGTGAACCTATCTTGGCTTCCGAGCTTGCCTCAAGGCTTTGGGTGCTTGGTCCCATTTAGGGGCGCTGGTTTCCGCCACGGGCGACTTGGCCACGTTGGTGAGTTCCGGATTTCCCTAGGTTAAGAGTTTAGGGCTTCGCCTATTTAGGATTCAGGGCCTTAGTTCTCCAATAGCCAACCTTTAAACTTTTTGGTGCTTATCATTTAGTAGTGCTCTGAAAGTTTGACCTTTAGGTTTCCTGGCTTCTTAGGGGAAGTAAGATTCAGGAACCCTGGACACTCTTTAATTTCCTTGGCTTCTTAGGGGAAGTACGGAGTTTAGGGCTGAGGGGTATGAGCGTCATGGGTTGAGTTGTTCGAGGCCCTGGTCCTAACTGCTTAATCCGAAGGCTCCTGTCAGGATTCTGATTAATTAAATGGGTAGTTCAAACGGTTTAGAGTTTACGGCTTAGGGTTTAGGGGTGTAGGGTTTAGGATCTAGGGTTCAGGGGTGTAGGGTTTAGTTTTACAGGACTTCTATAAATTACGACCCCTTTTAGGGTCCTTTCTCTGAGGGTGCCGTACTATATCGGGGACCTAAAACGGGACGGGACCCTAGTTTAGAGAACTACCCACATACGAGGGCCTTTGAGGGTGTAGTTCGTCCTTAAGGCAGGCCAAAATAGCTATCGAAGGCAATTTCGATATCCCGAGGAACTCCAAGCCGCCAAACCTTAACGCATAAACCCTAAACCCTAAACCCTAAACCCTAAACCCTAAACGCCCTAAACCTTTAGGGTTGAGGGTTTAGGGTGTGGGGCCCAAACCTGAAGCCCTAAAAGCTAAACCCCGGCCATGGGCCTCAAAGCCCAATCCATGAGACAGCAGGGGGCTTGTGGCGGGTTGTGGGTTTAGAATATAGGATTTAGGGCTTAGGGCTTTGGCTTTAGGGTTCAGGGTTTCGGATTTAGGGTTTAGGGTTTAGGCTATTCGGGTTCAGGGTTTAGGATTTTAGGTTTAGGGTTTAGTTTAAGTTTAGGGTTTGGGGTTTAGGTTTAAGGGTTTAGGGTCCTGAGCCCATCGAAACACGGCGATAGAGACACGTCCACATCCGTTATGAAAGAGAACCAGGGTTGAAGGGAGCTTAGGCTAGAATTCTGCGAACTAGGACTATCCGAGAGTTCTACAAGCACCCATTCAACACAACAGCACTAGTTCAGAACATGTTGACCCCACTTTAAATTTCCTGCAAAGTCCTATAGAAGCCAACACGACTGCATACGCTCCCAACAGAAACCCCAAACAAATATCCAGATCCGCCGAGCCCTAAAACCCTAAACCCCCGAAACCTGAAACCCTACCTGAACCCTGAACCCTAAACCCTAAACCCTAAACCCTAAACCCTAAACCCCCGAAACCTGAAACCCTGAAATCTTAATGACAGCCCAAGACTCCTAAACCCTACAGAACCATCACCCCTAAAGCCCTAAAGCCCTACACACGATGTCGGCCTCTAAAACCCTAATTACCTCACATTCTAAACCATTAATTAGTTCTCCAATAGCCAACCTTTGGAAATTTTGGGGTGTTATAATTTAATAGTACTCTGAAAAGTTTAACCTTTAGTTTCCCTGGCTTCTTAGGAAGTACCCTAAACCCCCCCCAGGTACCTACTATATAGGGTACTAGAGTTTCTA